TTATTTTACTTATTTATTTTAATTTTATTTAATTGTATTTATTTTATTTATTTTATTTATTTTATTTATTTCATTTATTTTATTTATTTTATTTATTTTATTTTCACAACAAAAACATAAAAACAGAATTATGTTTCACTAAAGAAAAAAAATGTTGCCATTTTACTCTCCATTTAAATTGTTCTTTACAAAGATCTGTCAACAAAGTGGCTACTTAATTTTACGATTTCATGGACATTATTCAAATATTAGAATATAAAATATCAACCACAACAAAGAGGGGGCAGTTTGCAAAGCATGCAAACTGTGTCATATGTACAGTATCTATGTAATGCAAACAGCTGCAAATAGCCGGCCTATAGAGGGCTCAGATTCCTCTCATGTGACCTCTTATGTTGGATGTCTAACAAGCAGAGGACTTGAACCATGAGTCCAGAATTTCTAACAACCTATAAAGTTTAACCCTGTAATGCCAAATGTATCATGTTTGATAAGGTTTCTGAAATGTTTTGTGTCTGACACCTTTTGCATAATTTAATGGTAAAAACTTTGCTCAAAATCCTATTGAACACAATCAGATACACCTGATAACAGGGGGCAGAAGACTACACAAAAAATAATCTTGACTTATCGCATAGTAATAAATGATTAATATTAAAAATGTATTTCTGTTTTTTCTTCTCACATATTTTGTTAAAAGGCCAAATAAAAACTTCAAACAAAAAAAAAAAGTAATTTTCTGTTCTGTTTATTCTTGGATCAGGCTTTAAAGGGTTAAAGGCGTTTCCTTTGCAGTAAAATTACTGTGATTTTTTTTTTCAAATGCACAGAACATCCTTTCCACTCATATTTTCATGGATTTTTCTTTCTTTTTTTTTGTTATTGGTCTCAAGAAAGAAATATCTGACAATTAGAATGTGTATTTTATAGTAATAAAGTAAAATCCTGCTTCCCACTGAGCACGTATTAGGAGAGAACAAGTTTATTAGAAATGCAAAATGTCGGTATGTTTAATATGAAGTTAAAAAACCTTGGGATTTTCTTCCCTTTTCTCAGAGGTGTTGACTAAACGTTCCCATTTAGTAATGAAAAACAGGTAATCTAATCAGGAATCCCAGGTTAAAGAGAGTTCTTTGTGATCCGTGTGTGAGGGAGAATCAAATTATTGTGACTTTCAACAAAAAGCCCATTGTGCCTCTTTCTTTGTTCAGTAAAATCCAAATTGTGTTTCCACAAACACATCACTGCTAATCCAGTTCAGCAGAGAATCTCTGGGGAACACATCTGGAGTCGGGCCTCACCTCGTGGATGAAATAGACTTTAGCTCCCACGTAGATTCCCATTCGAACCACGGCCCGAACGGCCGCGTTCATACCTGAGGAGGACACACACAGTCAGATAAGAGCCGCCATTAAGGGGAAATATTATGCTAAACCAAGTTTTTAACTCATTGACTGCCAGCCATTTTCAGAACAGAGAGTCCCATACTGCCAGAGTTTTTTTTTTAGCATTTTGACTGATTTTTCAAGAGCCTCAGAATAGTTTGTGCTATGACTATGTAAACACCGAACACACCAAAAGAAAGAGTAGACTCTCTTCTTTCATCAGGAAAAAAAATGTGTTTCTACCTTATTCCGTTCTTCCTGGACTTGCGTCTCACCGGCGACATGTTCTCTCATAGAACCGTTACCTTTTTCTTATTTGCCTACAGTCTATGCTCATCTCCCATCAAAAGTGGCACTGCCCCCTAGAGGGTCAATTTGTTACTACATACTCTGTCTAGAAGCCGATATTTACGGACAAGCTTTAGCAGATCGTCCCCCAAGCCACTCTCGTTGAAAAACGTAAAAAACCTCTATATTCAGTGGTTGTCCCGCGCTTTTTTCTGCTTTTACAATCGAATGAACGAAGTCCGAATGTCTACTTAGGGGTGAT